TATTCCTATTTCTAATATTTTATTCCTATTCCTAATTGCTATCCTTTTCTCTATTGTGCGCAGGGCCTAAGGGTACGAACCCATGCAACGGAATAGCGTAAAACCAAACTACGCATTAAAAATTGAAGATTGAAGATTAAAGATTGGAATTTAACTAATCACACACACACACACACACACACAGAACAAAAGGAACTAAAATTTTATTATTTTGATTGGTCAAATTTCAATCTTAAATCTTGAATCTCAATCTTCAATGCGTAATCTGATACGGGCTTAACGCGGAACGAGAGCACGCCCAATCGCGAAAGTTCTGCAGTTTTTGCTACGTGGATTTCAAGTCCCTACATCCCCATGGAGCGTAACGAGCGCACCGCGTACCAATGCGCAACTAATCACGAGTCATTATTTCAAAAGAATTAGGACCCGGGCACATAAAAAACCTTAAGCAGTAAGGCCGGATTCACACCTTGGCAGAAAAGCAGAAAGCAGAAAAGCAGAGGCCAATCAGACCGTCTGGACCAATGAGCATGCTATGTAAATCAATATGGCGATTTTATTTCGATACTCATTGGTCCAGACGGTCTTGTGCTATGCATATGCAGCTATGCCGAACTTAAGCAGTAAGACTTAAGACTTAAGAATTTCAACCATACGGAATTTTCAGCGTAGCTTACGTTTCAATATGGCTGCCTTACTGTTCGACTATGATTGGTCAATTCGCTTACGTCTTAAGTCTTACTGCTTAACTTTTTTTATGTGCCAGGGCCCTTACTGCGTAAAGGCGTAAGAAGATCGACCAATCTCAATCGAGTATTTGGCTCTCCGTAACCCCTCCACTTTTACGGAAAGCCCCATACTCGATGGGGTTGGTCAATTTTCTTACGCTTACGTCTTACGTTCTTACGGAATTTTGTGTGTGATGGCCTTAAGTTTTTTTATGTGCCACGGCATGGCTTCTGCACACTAGAGTCCTATATAATCAGAGAAGCGACAATGGCGTTCCGCTTGCTGATTGGCTGACCACCACGGGCCCGTTCCACTTAACGACCGCAACGCTCACGATATCATTTCATCTTTGTTGTTCACCGAAACTTAAACAAACACAGATAATGCTCGCGAGCGTTGCGGTCGTTAAGTGAAACGCGCCCTATATTGGCGGGTAGTTTGCACGTAGTGAATCCTACGTGCAAACTAATCGCAACCGGCGTACCGTAAGTGAGAAAAAAGTATATTTGTAATGATATTTTCTAAAAAAAAACATTTTCAATATCTCTGAGACATTTTTAAGATATTTTAGATTACACATGGACAGCTGCCCAACATGGCAATCATGGGAAGCATGAAAGGGGTAATGATGTCGCTTCTCTCATTATATAGGACTCTACTGCACACAGGACGCGGAAACGCTTGCCGCGCGGCAAAAAGCGACGCGATAGCCAATCAACTTACAACTTTTCCATTAGAGCGAAAAATTGATTGGCTAACGTGTCGCCTTTTACCGCGCGGCAAGCGTTTCCGCGTCCTGTGTGCAGAAGCCATTAAAACCGCGTTGAAACTTATAGCGTTTTCGAATGAACGGGTTAATCCAACCCGGATCAATTAATCACTATATTTTACTATGAATTCAAGACTTTTATTGGTCGAGACAATGCAATGACATCATTAATTGCTCTCAGAGCGATTAAACATGCTACATTTGAAAACGCTATTATTTAACTTATTTAACATTTTTAATCAATATTTCCATTAAGAACGCATTCATTTCAATATTTGTGTACAGGATAATAAAAAACGATCAATAAAAACAATATTTAAAAGTCATTTTACAGACGTTCTGCTCGTTCTGCTTGCGCTCATTCCGCTCCATGGGGATGTAGGGACTTGAAATCCATGTAACGAAAATGACGGAACTGTATGTATGTACACACATACTTTGTTAAATTGGCAGCGTAGAGCAACGTGGTCAGTACAGAAACAGAGATAAATTATTAATTATTACAAGTTATTATTCATTTTTGAGAGATAAAGGAAAATTTTTAAGTTAGTTTTTACTCCCGACTGCTACCAACCGCAGGTTGGCAAAAAACGGTGGGAGTATGCGTTTTTATTACATGTGTATATGTATAGATGTGTATATACATTATGCGATCTGCAAAACCTATTCCGCTAGAAACTACTATAAACGGAACGAAACAGCGAAACACTCGTAATTGGTTCCGCCCTTGTTTCGCGTTAAGCCCGTATCAGACAACATATTAAAGATTGAAAATTGATCAATCAGGATAAAAAGGACTAAAATTTCTTTGTCCTAATTGGTCAAATTTAAATCTTGATGCATAAGGTTTGTTCGCGTTGCTTGAAATTCCCAAAAAGTTCTGCACTGAAAACGAGATAAATATTATTTGGATGTTGAAGAGAGTGAAAGCAAAGATACTGAATGCAAAAAGTTCAAGCAACGCGAACAAACCTATAATCTGATACGGGCTTTACGTAATTCCGGTGCATGAATTCGCACCCTAAAGGTGCGAACCTATGCAGCGGAATAGCGTAACGCGGAACGAAAGCGGAACCAATCACGAACGTTCCGCAATTTCGTTCCGTTTTCAGTAGTTTCTAGCGGAATAGCTTTCGCAGATCGCGTAATGTACATACACATCTATACATATACACATGGGAGTAAAAGCTAACTTCAAAATTTTCCTTTATCTCTCAAAAATGAGAAATAACTTGTAATAATTAATAATTTACCTTTGTGTAGCGGTTCGCGGCTGCGATTGCGATTGCGTTTGTGATTGTGATTTGCTACGCTCCAATCATACTTGCAATTGGTGCTTTCTGATTGGCTGAGGCAATCGCTATCGCAGCCGCGAGCCGCTAGTGTGATTCGGGCTTTACGCTATTCCGCTGCATGGGTTCGCACCTTTAGGGTGCCATTACATGGAGCGCGAAAACGCGGATTAGCGTAACGCGGAACGAGAATGGAACCAATCGAAAGCATTCTGCAGTTTTCGTTACACTCGCGATTGGTTCCCTTCTCGTTCCGCGTTACGCTAATCCGGTTTCGCGCTTCATGTAATGGCATCCTTAGGGTGCGAACTCATGCAGCGGAATAGCGTAACGCGGAACGAGAGCATGAACAATCGCGAGCGTTCTGCAGTTTTCGCTACGCTCACGATTGGTCCGCTCTTGTTCCGCGTTACGCTTTTCCGCTGCCATGGGTTTGCACCCTTAGGGTGCCGTCCCATGGCGCGTATTGTGATCATAAATATATAGACTGGATTGAGCATTGTGAGATAGACAAACGTGCGCTTGCTGTAGAAAAAGAGGTACTATATGAAAGGCCTATGTTTGTCTCTTTTCCTAGCATCTCATTGGTGATTTTCTATATGGAGGGGATAAAATCACCAATGAGATGCTAAGAAAAGAGACAAAATAGGCCTCCCATATAGTACCTTTCTCTCTACAGCGAGCACGCGTTTTTTGTCTATCGCAACGCTCAGTCCATTCTAGGCTGTGTTTCGATTCCCCATAGCTCGGTTAGATTAACCGACGGTTAAAATTAGCAGGGTGGCCAACAGAAAATAGAGGTAAAGGAAAACCAAGCATTCTTATCATTTCAGTTGGAACCTTGCTAATTTTAACCGTCGGTTAATCTAACCGAGCTTGGTGAAATTGGCCCTATGTCGTATAATCAAAAATTATAGTTCCTACAAACATACCTCTGGTGATTCCATACTTTAGATTATATGTACATATATAACCAAAACACAACTTTTATGCGGGGTCTACAATGCAGTCGTAAGAGCACTAAGCCTTAAGAATTGACTAATCACAGTCGAGTATTCTCTTCATACTTAACTGTGATTGGTCAATTCTTAAGGCTTGGGGCTCTTATGACTGCATTGTAGACCCCGCATTAAGAGCATTCTACAATGGCAGTAACAAGGCTGTAGGAGTAGGAGAGTATACTTTTAAGAGCGATGTAAAGACCGAGAGTAACGAAATAGTTACTCTCTAATAATCTTAAAAGTTTTAAGAGCAAATGGGAATTGCCCATTTCGTTACTCCCCGTCTAAAGCCCGTATCAGACTACGCATTGAAAATTGAGATTGAAGATTGAAGATTGAAATTTGACCAATCAGGACAAAGAAATTTTAGTTCCTTTTATCCTGATTGGTCAAATTTCAATCTT